TAAGCCAAAATAAAAGCAAAAATTTAACTAAAGAAAATGAAATTAAATGATAAGTAGAAAACAGAATTATAAAATGATCTATAATTACTACTCATCTGTGATTCCGGAGGATGAAAAACCGATGTAATCCATTACTTCTGGTTTGGAGATCTTGAGTGATGGCTTGTAGTCAAAACCGAAAGTGCTTGAGAACTGTTCATACGATTTAACACAGTCCGGGTTACCATTATGGTGATTTCCTCATGTTGTTATGTATTTTTACCACCAATCCTCGAATTCCATATCACAGATTATGTTCTTACTGCATTAATATAAATATTAACAAGACATAGTGCACAATAAAAATTAAACTTTATTTAGGAACATCGCGCATACTCCCCGACAGCCTGCCTGTTTCGCTCTGCTCGCTACTCGTAAGAAATTTCTCCTCTAGGGTTGCCACACTTATCGGAGGGCGCAAGGTGCGCTCCTTATCGCCATCACCACAGAATACATTATATAGAGGCAAACTATATGCATTATACTTCTATTATTATTATTTATGTGTTCCGCCCGAAGCCAATACATGGAAGGTCTTCGTGGAGGACTTTCTAAGAGAAACTAAGAGCTTGTATTAACACGTTACGCATGGAAAAAACCACGAAAACGCCCACGCAGCCAGCCCGTTTGCGAGATTCAGACCTCAGACCGAACTGTTCGCGTTCAGGGACTTTACTGCTGGTTGGCCACGCATTATACCGATGTTATTTTATACTTTTTAAATTTTTGTGAACTAAGTTCCATTAAGCTTCACTTGAAGGAAACTCTCTGAGCAAACACTCAAAAAGAAGTTATGCTATATTTACACATTTTGAAATAGTTGAATATACAGTACTTTCCTGTAACGATAGTGCTCAATATATCGCGTTTTATGATAGAATGCGTATGTTGCCTAAAATCAAATGTAAATGACCATTTTCAGAATAATTGCATGAAACAATAAACTGTAATTTTAAAGTATCAATCGAATTAATGGATTATTCAAAATAAAATTTGTTGACGTTGAAAATTTCTATTATGTTTTGAATTATAATGTATGCTGCGAGGCTTTAGCAGAACTATCAGCTCCAGTAAAAGTCAGGATACGGTAATTTAAAAAAAAAAGGCAGGGAAAGAAAGCGGAAACAGAATAGGCTTGCCATGGTGACACATTGGAAACGACTAAACAAAATGTTAATACTATATATGGATTAAAACACGGGTCTTTTCGATAGTTAGAAAGATTTATTCAAAAATTACTGTTCTTATTTTTACTGTAAAAGAAATAATTTAAATGGAAATGCTCAGCTGATTTTATTTACTTAAATATTTGATAATGTGAATTGAGATACCTAAATCATTTGCGTATAAGAATTCTAAAAAATGTGAAACAACAGTTTGAAAGATTTTGCTTTAGTTTGGTTTATTTGATTTTTCCAAAACATGTGAGGGCTATCTGACTAACGGGAGGACTGCTTCCATGGAGGACTTTCTAAGGGAAACTTGCTGGCATCCATATTGCATAGGCATGGGAAAAATCGCGAAACATCCACTTTGTAAATATTTAACATTAAGGTAAAAATATTTAACATTCTACATATATATTTTATTCAAAATTTTCCTTAAAAAGAATTTTAGCAACTTAATACAACTATATATTTAATTCTTGGCTAAAATATTTAAGCCAAAATTTAAAATAATGTTCTTTTATGATTTACATAACACAACTCTTCCTGTCAAAAATAACCATATGAAAATGCACTAAATTTCACAACCATGCCATTTATTTCAGAAACTGAGATGTATCTGTGACATTATCTTGTTATACAGATGTAGATAACTTTTTAACAAGGCTGTCGCATAAGATTATGACTGAAATTTATTTCAAAATATTCACTATTTTATTACTTCTGTTTACCAATAAATGAGATAAAGTCAAAATTCTGTTTTATAAATATGAAAAAAGATGAATGAAATAGATTTATGTTAAAATGAAGCACACAAAATCTGCCGAAATGACCATGTGTTTGATATTTAAATAATGTATTAATTATTCCGCACATGTAACCTTTCAATAGGAATTAAGTATTTAAACCTTTTACAAATTTTGACTTAGCCTAAAAACTTGATTGCTTGAATTCAAGGCAGATAATTAGCTAAAACTAAGACTATTTCGCTAGTTCGTAAGATTTTATGACTGCGGTGTGCGTATCTATACAAATTAAATTGAAACTTTTATTTGTTTTCCACTTAAGATATTTGCACTGCACTAATATTCATTTTTGAAGGACTTAAGCATTTTCAATAAATTAACATTTATAAACGTACATTAATGTGACCAAACCCGATGAAGTTCAATAAAATTTTTACTTGATAAGCAATTAAAATCAGAAATATCCACAAAACTAGTAGCAAGTCAATAGGGATTTGGATTTCCACAAAAAAAAAAAAAAAAAAAAAAAAAAACTTTTTCTTCTGTCCAAAGCATGTAGACAGAACTTGTTTCATCCTCGGTAAGCCACCACCTGCTTTACCGCCTCTAGGCACTGATCAGTGAACAACAGTTTAACACTAGGAAAGCCATTAGTTAGGTGAAACAACTTGTTGATCATCCTATAAAGAGGGGGGAGGGAAATCTTACAATAACCGTTTTTAGAACCATTTTAGTTTCAGCTAAAGGAAAAAAATTTTGCACGCACGGTTTTATTATTGCAGTTTTCGGAACATAAATAGAATCAAATGCCCGCCGTCCGGTGGGTTAAATTGCGCTTTGAAGTGGCACCACTGGCGCGCGTTATGTGCGTCAGCACTGAAATTCTAATCATTTGCACAGGGTGTTGCATTTACGGTGGCCAGCAGTGTATTTCATTTTCCTGCCATATTGCGACCAAAAATAAGCATATTTTTTATTAACAATTTTGTATTCTAATCAATTATATGAATTCATTAATTTAAGATAATTTTTTATTATGGAAAAATTATGGCATTTTTACTTAAAGTTGGCTTTTTTCTGATGAAACTGCAGAACTGAAAAGAACACTTTACAGAACATAAAAGTGAAATAAGTGAATTCGCTGTGAAAGGAAATCACTGTGGTGGTGGAGGAGGATTACTAGTATCCATATCACAAAAGTTCTGACCCTGACATAGATGATCTGAACTTTCCATTTCCTCATCATCACTAGAGAATTCCGATACAGGACTTTCAAGTCTACCAGAACCATTTAGAGAAAATTCAGATTTGCATTCTGATCCAATACAGTAGAAGTCCAGAAATCCACAAAGCCTGAGACCAGAGGTTGTGCCGATTTTAGGATTTTGCGGATTTCAGGACAGAAAAGATAAATCATAATATTCAGACTAAAAGTGCAAAATAAATAAGACGTATTAGATACATTTAATTAAATTATTATATACATTATTGCAATCACTTATTATATGCATTAAACTATTATTACATATATAAATTGATTATATTATTATATGTACACAGCATCGAGGTTTGACGATTTCACCTCATGCAAAGATTTCCGGTTTCGGATTCTGGCGTTAGAATCACTGTTGCTGTAAAACTTCAACAGCTTTTCTTTATTTTTTCATATATCATATACAATCGTGTCGCAATTCCATACGATTCTGTTATAAACCGAGGAGTAGCATCTGCCTCCATCTTTTGCAGAATTTGCACTTTTTGCATTATGATCAATGCAATGTCTTTACGTTTTTCAACGTTGCAAGCAGCAAAATCATGAGTGCATTTCTTATCTGTCATTGTATTAAAAAGGGCTGAAACTTAAAAATATTCTTAATTTATCCACAAAATATCCAGATTAAAAAAATGGCAGCACTAAATAATCTCATGAAGTAACAAAGCTCAGAAAATACAACAGCGTGAACCGTGAACTTGAAAGAAGGAGTTGAGTGAATTGTCTGCTTTTTTACCTCGATGCAGATTAGAGCGGGAAAACTTTTATCATGATGTCAATAATTTGGTATTTCCATTATGACTCATTATTATTCGGTAATTATGACGTCAAGTATTTTTTTCTTCGATATTTCATACTCAATGTAGCAGTTTCCAAAACCTGCAAACTGAATGTTTATATTTTTAGAGGCAACGTGGATTTTCGGTATTTGACTGTATTAGAATTATATTTTGTTATGAGCTATTTACTGTCACCTATCATTCTTTTATTTCATGACAAAATTTGGAAGAAATACTATTTGAAAAACCTAATACACTGAACATGTGCAAACAAACTCGTTGAATTTCTTCACCTAATGAAAAGTGGTAAAAACCTATCTTTGAACTGATTTTACAATCCAATCTCTCTTGTACTACTAGATACATCTATTAGAAACACTGCAAAGGCAAAGTCAAAAATGTCAAAAAGCCGGGAAAATCAGTGGAATGGTATAGAAAAAAACACTGCCTGAGGGATGTACAGGCAAATAAAAAAAGTCCATTTTCGTGGCAACACAGTTAAGTGGTTAACTTTACATTAGCATGTTCTCTTCCAATAAATGAGAGATGCTTTCCAATATTTAGATTAGGGATATAACATTAGTCAAATATGTTTCTGAAATAATGTGAATAGTTAGTTCATAAACAAACTTTTGCATTTTCCTAATTGAAATGCTGCGAAAATATTTATGTTTCTAGTTATATTCCTATTACATTAATTTAACTCCATTACTGTTTTGAAGCATATTTTTTCTCATTGTTTAATGTTATTGAAATTGAGGTAGACAAATCTGATCACATTAAGCTGTATCTACTGTATATTAGAAAATGCATAATTTATAAAAAAATTGAATTAAAAATAAAAGGCTGAAGATATTAAAGACCCTGATTTTTTGATATATTTAATGCATTAAATAAATTTAAAAATAAAAATATAATTTAATAGATAACAGATTTCATAAATAATTTAATAAATAATTTTCCCCCAATAGCATCATAAAAATTAAAGAATACTTACATAGCCTTTTCTGCATTTCGAGCCTAAAAAGAATTAAAACAGATTATACATACCATAATAATAATATAACATAATAATAAAATATTTAATTTTTACACGCTTTTATATTTTTACACTTTCATTAAAGTGTAAATATGAATTTATAAATTGAAAACAATCTTTAAAAGAAAAATCTGCATTTAATTCTTAAAACACATATGTAAAAATTTGTTGTACTTTTCTATTATGGACTTGCCATGCATTTTGGCAGTACTATTGTAATAATATGTGTGTGTGTTTAATTATTCTTGTTAACACATACGTAGTCCCCAGACAGTGTTATCATTAAGTCTCAGCATGTTCAACTTCTCTTTCACAGGAAAAAGGCGCAGCAGGTGCATAATAGAAAAGTACACAAATTTTATTTCAATTTTTTCTTTCTTATATCCTGTAGAATATTTTAGAAATGCACATAATATTACATACTATACAATAAACATACAAACAAAACTCTATAATGAAAACTCAAATATATTATACATTCTTAAATTAAATTTTTTTAATATTAAGTCTAACTTTTATCAATGATCAGTACAGTCAAAAGTCTTTAATTCGGACTCGTCGGGACTTCGGCTATTCCGGATTATCGATTTTTCCGGATTATAGATCATCAGTTTAAGTCTGGTAAGATGGCATGCAGAAATTATAAAATTAAAAATATGAAACCGTAATTTATAAAATAATGAGCAATTATGATCTAAAGGGTATCAAAATTTACAAAAAAAGAAGCTTAATATTTATTTGTTTACTTTATTAAACATTTCTTTCAACGCGCGCATGCGTAAAGCATACCTTATGCATAGCCGATATTAGAAAATTGCAACCAGAAAACTATTTGATTTGTATTCGTGATATTTATAATGACGAGGAATTTGATTTAAATCATATCAAAGACGGAGTACATCGAGATTAAATACTACATTTAGTAAGGAATTATAAGCCGAATAAAATAAAAACATCTGCCCTGAAGATAACGATAGTGCTGACAGATCAACTTCCAGTTCATTGCGCGCCACGACGTCCCCCCCCCCACGCAGAGCAGCGTGAAATTGATAAACAGATTTCGGACATGGACCTTATAAGAAATAGACTAACCCAAATGGGTTTTCTCCTTCGTCTGAGGCGTTCCCGTCTGTCACCTTGATCCTATCTGAAGGAGTAAGGACGACTTGCAGAAATTTAACAGTGGTTGCCTATTGCAGCATGTATAATTGTCAAGAAAAAGCTGGTTGTAGCGCCTCATTTCACAAATTAGAATTTCTCCATATTTTTATTTTTAAAAATTTAGCATATTTATCAAGCATAATTAACATTCCAAATAATTATAAAGCTATTGCATGCTTTCAAGGCTGCATATTTTTTTAGCTTTTCCTATGCTATAAGGAAATTTGTAACTACTTCTTTTAGAAAATAATATTTTAAATCTGAACTAATGAAAAATTTCAAACAAGCAATTTTTATGCTTTTTATTGGTGTAAATAAGTAAAAAATACTAAAATAATTTAAAACGAATTTTTGAAAGTTTTGTTTAAAATTCTAAATTGTGCTGCTTTTTTAAAATTATAGATGAGTATTATAGCGCAATTTCTATAAAGGAATTTTATTTCAATTATATTTCATAATACATCACAGTGATAAACACTTTTGACTCCTAAAAAATTTTTATACATTTAAATTCTAATATTAAAATTGTATTTAACTGTAACAATTAATTTTGCTATATTATATAGTGATTACTTTTTTAATTTATTTTGAGTTCTGCATAAGATTTTTTTTATTTACTGTTAATTTAGTTTATTAGCCTAAAGGGGCGGTAGCCTAGAAAGGCTGTTAGTTTCGAAAGGGCATTTTGCGTTGTTTTGCTGTAAATGTCCGTGTCTCCTTGCAAATTGTTGTTACCAAATATTATCGACATGTATTATATTTAAAGAAATTAAATAATAAAGATTCTGCATGAATACATGTGTGTTTCTCGCACTGTGACAAAAACGACAGTAGTATCTACAGTCATCAAATTTTGAATAATGTAATCCTCCATTCGAACATGGGCATCTGGATGGCCGAATTTCGAATCTGTTTAATCTATTTCATATTTTAGAACTTTAACGAATTTTTGATTAACAAACTCAACGAGTTCAGAGAGAGCACTGTACGGAAAATAACAGTTTTATCTCCAGTGCCGAAATTCTAAAGATATGCTGTTTTCAAATATATGTGGTTTACGGGCAAAAAACATGATATTCAATAACTATAGGTAACGTACAAAACGTTAAAAAAAGGTTCCTTTTGGGCGTAATATAAATCTGAGTGCTTCTAGATTTTATTTTACCTTTTTTTCCCCTTCATTACACTCAGAAAATTTTATGCGCCGAATTTTATAAATTACTAAAATAAATATTCCACTTTAATGTTAATAAGTTAATGATGATATAATCAAATAAATGATTGTTTTGTAATGTTATTATAGTTTTGAAAATCACTGCCTGAGAAAGGCAATTATTAAATGAAATCGGATCTTGTTTAATTTTACCTTATTTATTTCAAAGCATCACGTACTATCAATCTTATTTAATTTTACGTTATTTGTAAGCAAAATTAAGTTCATAAATTTTGTGCTTAGAGTTTTTATCGTTTTACCAAAGTAAAGATGTTGTACATGAATTATGCATGAAAAAAACGTGTGAAGTGCAGTAAAAAGTGCTTTAATGAGATATATTAAATCCTATTTGGAAAAAACTGTGGCTTACATAATCTCATCACTATACAACGTATCACATTTAATAATTAAAAAGAGTTATGTGATAGAAACGCCATAGGTTTCAGTGTTAAAATAAACCAGATCGTCCCTACTCTTTCGTGCCGACATGTCGGTGACGCGCGCCCCGCCCACTGGGTTAGTCTATCTCTTATAAGGTCCATGATTTCGGAATGGTTAGATAAACAAAGGATATGCCTTTATGCATTTTTTGTAGCAATTCGTTTTTTGTTTGATGGACATCGAAACATACTTTCGTTTTCTAGATCCTTTGGGAGCTCCAGCATCGGAAATTCTATTTAACATAATCGAAAGTTCAAGCTTACTTTTATAAAATTACTCTTACAGTCTGCAAAAAATAATAAGCCGGATCCAATTCGAAGATTAAGGAACAACGCAATCATCAACATTAACTGAAATAGATAATTAGATAATTTTAGCTTATACCATCCGTTATACATTAAACGCGCACGCGAAAACGTATTCTGCACTTGCGCACACGCATATGCACAGTCGTAAACGTCTTGCGCGCACGCGTAAAACGCCTATGCGCATGCTTCAACGCGCCGCATGTGCAGAAAGATTTTAGCTTTGAAGTCCGGATTATAGATCATTCCGTATTATGGGTGTCCGAATTAACGACTTTTGACTGTATAATATATTGTTGCGTGTGTACGGGTTTGTTATGAAATGAATGCACAAGTCCGATGAAAAATGAACAAAAATTTATTATTATCACAACAAAAATGCTTAAATTTTCTCAAATTATCATGCAGTATTACAATATCTCACAGTAGTTACCTTCTAACTACTCAAATGTCCAATAGAATGTAATTCAAAACAGCTAAAGAAAGCTAATCCGTGAATTCGCTACAATTAACAAGAGCAGTTTTCTAAACAACAACAAACTAAGCAACTACTACGAACTGAGATGTTTTCTTCCTTTTATAAGATTTTAAAAATCACGCGCTAGAATTTTCCAGTAGTTTCTCGAAATCAAAAAGAGATATTTATTTATTTAATGCACGCGCTCTTGTATTTTCAATTTTCCGGCTTAGCTTTCTTTTAATATTCGTCACGCGCTGCACTGCGCGAGAAATAAAACCATTTAATTTATAATTGAACTAACATTAGCTTTTTAAATACCAAATTCGTAACACTATATATATATAACAAAATTATGTATACATTTATATACAATAATTTATTTACTAAAGTAATACTGACTATATTATCTCCTAATATAAAGTTCGTAGAATGTATCTGAATGAAGTAACCTGGAAGCACTGAAATTTAATCCCGAAAATAATATTTTTTAAAAATAGAAATGGAAACTTTTAAAATTAATAAACTAAGTAATTATCATCACTGATCCGAAATTGGTCGACTTTTCAAGGAGAACAAACCAACCCCCGTTCAGTTAACAATAATTAATAGATGCGGAGGTGTTTTGTCTTTTACTTAAGTAAGAAGTATGATGCCAAACTGGCAATTTGAGTTAAAGCCAAACTTGTATGTCGAGTTTTAATCCAATTAGTGAGATTAAAGTGAGATGAATTAAAGTGAAGTACTATAAAGAATTCATTTTGAATGTATCAGTTTAGTTAAGTTAATGAATTCCCCCCCCCCAAATTGCCAGATCTTACTTTTGAGCAAATATTGAGCTATTGAGCAAATATTAGGAAATATCTTTTTAAATTAATTAATTCAATCTTATATACATCACAAAAAGTTTTTATGAAAAACCTAACTATTCAAAGTATTTCTGAGCGATATGCTCGTGAAAATTGATCAGTATAGACAAAAAGTAAGACATTTAGACTCATTCTAAATTTATTTGTATTGAATTTCACTCTTTTTTGGGACTTTGTGCAGAATGGGTTCTAAATTTCTCACTTTTTGTCTATATACATATGCATCAAATACTTAGATAACATAAACACAGCGGTTTTTAGAGGAAAGGGGAGTTCAAGTGAGTCTGACGTACCTCTTCTTAATAATGTTATATCATATTTGATTGCATTCCCCTTCCTATGTATTTATTTTTGTGGTTTTTGTATTTTTAGAGGGTTTTGTATTTCTTTAAATTTTTTACTTTGGTTTGGTTTACTTTATCTTTTACTTATTGGTACTGAATTTCACTTTTTTTGGGTTCTTGTGGAACTGGTTCTAAATTTCTTACTTTCTGTTTCTCTCTCTATATATAATTCAAAAGAATTATAGAGAAAA